ATTCACAATTTAGAATCACCAGTTAACCTCAACATGTTTTTGGACTGTGTGAATCCATGCTGCACGGGGAAGAAAGATCCCGGGTGTCCTAACCGGGGATCTTGTAGCTGCAAGGTGATGGTGCTAACCACGGAGGCACCATGCAGCCCTTTTGTCAAAGTACCATTTTTTGTGTGTGTCCTGCTATATACCCAACTTTTCCAGTTAGCTGATCGTCCACTACTTTGTAAAGATAATTGATTCTGAAGACCTTCATGTTTCACATTGTCACATCAGTGCAAAACTGCAGCAGCATTCCTCATTATAAACCTGGGAGTTATATCTTTTTATTGTGCACTGGAAAGGACACATTTACAGAATTATTCCAAATCCTCCATGTAAATTTTTGAATGTGTCTAATTGTTAGGGGACCCTCGCCAGGTGTTGAGGCCACAGTGTGGATAAATGGCTGCTCTGCCAATACAACCGTACCCCTCCACTATAAGAAGAGACAAATCCACTCTGTTAATGTTCGACCTGGAGAAACTGGTTTCCACTGAGTTGGGGGCCATCATTGGTACATGTATTCTTGATAATCCCCTGGCAGAGGAGAACAAGGATGCCGTGCTCCCCATTGAACAAGCAAAGGGACGTTTCCTCTGTGTGGCCTCAGAGGATGACCTGGAGCTGGACACTACATGGAGCCACCTTATGGACCCTACTGCCCCTCCAGCTTCAGTAGGTATATGCTGTACAGGAACTGTTTTCAAAGTTTTGTTAAGAAATGCTTTATTACAAATATTAAGAGGTGTGTCCGTCATCTTTCTCACACAGTCTTATTGGTGTGATCTCATTGTGTAACTCTCTCAGGAGCCTGTCAGTTATCCCTGAAGTCACAAGATGGTGACAGGAACCTTTAAATAAACACTGTGCAGCGCTGAGTGAAGAACTGATGCCGTCTGTAACAGTGGATTTTGGGGCCACCACTGCACTTTCCACTCAAACATTATTTTCATTCATATTCTGTATATGTTTGGAAAATGGTCACAATGCAACTCAGCCAAGTAGAACACTGTTCTGTCAAGTTGGGAAAACTGTTCATTTAAACTCTGTTTTGACTGATAAGAACTGTGAATCCTGTTCTGAGGACAGACTACACTTCAACACAGTCGTAACATAAAAACAGGACTTTGGGGAGGCCAATTCAAAACCTAAAGTCAAGCCTAATTTATTTTTTCTATTTTTTTTTTTACCATATTTGATTTGGACAACATGTTCTCACTCCTTACTCATGTGTTGGTTTCGGGGTCACTGTCTCGTTGGAACACCCAACTGCATGATGATTTTAGGTTTGAATTATGAAGGAGGATTACCTCCACATTCTTTGGGCAGTTAACAGCCCCAGAACATAATACTGTCACTACCACGCTTGATGGTAGCTAGTGATGGGTTCGGCAACAGCGATGCGTCAGCACGTGTCGAGCTCATCGAGCAAAACCCCACGTTGGTGCGTGTATCGCTTGAAGAAAGTCACGTGACCGATACAGCTGCTGTTTCGCCTGTCACTGAGGTGCCAAACTGTGTTTATAAGGAAACGCATCTGTCAGCGCCATGCATCTCTGCCAAAACAATCACAGATCTTTTGAAGCAAAATTCCAAGCCATTATGGAGCCCGAAAGAAAAAGGTTTTCGCCATGTGAGACCATTTTAATCTTATATCGGCAAATAAGCTGTTTGTTTTTATTTCCTTGTTGTTTCATCCTCTTCCTGGAGAACTTGCATCCAAAAAACATAATCGCCTTAATGCCAAGATATTGGAACAGTTGATTTTTTTTTTTAAACAAAAAATTTATAGAAAACAAACAAAATCCCCTCCTTGCCTCAAAGACAAGTACATAAGCATCCTCACATCCACAAAATGTTCACTTTGATTTTCACGTTATGACACACGTTCACATTATTTATTGGCTGTATATTTTAAAGATAAATATATTTTAAACTAAAGATATAAAAATACCACAGTATAAAATGCAATAACTTACATTATATTATTGTATATACTAAGTCATTAAGTCGGTATGTCAGTTGAGCCTGTCAACTAAGTTGCCTGACAGGATTTTTAAGATCCAGCAGGTAGCTTTGGAGTGAAAGTGAGGCCTTTAACCCAAAAACATCAAACATATTTATGGTTGTTGTGGCAAAATAGGTCAATTTTGTTTTCTGACAACAGCCTTTAAAATGATAGTAATGTTTTGTTTCATGTTGTCTAAGTCAATGATTTGGAATTTGTCTGCAGCTGAACATCTCATATCATATAGCCAGAATGAGCAAATTGAGGGCAAGAGTTCTTTTTTTTCATAGATCACATTCCTTTAAGTCCTTCAAAGTTTTCTGCAGCTTTTTTTTTTTTTAATTGAGACTTTTATTATGAAGCACCACCTCACAGCTTCCTGTTATGCATGTTTACATACTTCCACCAGGACACTCCGAAGTTCAGATGTTTATAAAGTTGGACCTCTGAATTTAAAAACTGCTTCTCTGACAGTGACAGAGCTTCAGTTTGTACTGACAAAAGGTGAGTTTTGTGTTTAAAGTTAATTACAGGCACCACAGACTAAACAGAATGAATACATACTTTTGTGCAGCACACAGGTTGCAACTAACAGAGACTTTGTGAATGTGTTTCCATGTTTATTATGATCTCTGCTTGATATTATTCTGTTTTATTTCAAGTTGTTACTAAAAATCCCACTTTTGTAAGGACTCTTTAGCAGCACATTAAACTGCAGCAGTCAGAAGGCTCTGCTTGTCTTGTTATATAACAAAACAGAAAATGTAGGTCAACGGTCAAACAGTGACCACATCACATCTCGGCTGCCAGTAGCTCTGAGTAAAAGAAAAAAGAAAGCTAATGCAAAATAAGATTCAAATGCAGACATGCATTCAACTAATTAAACTCAGAGCTAAAACTAATATCTACAGAAGGTGAAACAGCAACACACAAGAGGCTGCAGGGGTTGTTTTATTAGGCCAGATTAATGATTTAGTGAGGTATGTTGAGCCTGAATGCAAGG